TGTGATTTCGGGCTTAGGATCCTCACATGTGGTGGTGTGCTTGACGGTGTCACATGGGGGTATGTGCAGGACTGTTTGGTCTGTGTCTGTGTCGTGTGTGACTGCGTTACATGTGGGTATGTCTGTGATTTCGGGCTTAGGATCAGCACATGTGGGTGTGTCTGTGACTGGGGCGTTGTTGTGTGGATGTATGATTGCGGGCTTTGGAGGTTCATGTGAGGGTGTGTCTGTGACTGTGTCGCATGTGGGGCTGTCTGTGATGTCGGGCTTAGGATCATCACGTGTGGGTATGTGCGTGACTGTGTAACATGTGGGTATGTCCGTGACTGTGTCACATGTGGTTCTGTCTGTGACTGTGTCACATGTGGTTCTGTCTGTGACTGTGTCACTTGTGCGTATGTCTGTGATTTCGGGCTTAGGATCCTCACATGTGGGTGTGTCTGTGAGTGCGTCACGTGTGGGTATGTCTGTGACTGTGTCGTTTGTGACTGTGTGTTGTGTGATGTCGGGCTGAGGATGATCACATGTGGGTGTGTCTATGACTGCTTTACATGTGGGTATGTGTGTGATGTCGGTCTTAGGATCCGCACATGTGGGTGTCTCTGTGACTGCGTTACCGGAGCCTGGTGGTTGTGTGATTGCGGGTTTAGGAGCGTCACATGTGGGTGTGTGTGTGGCTGGAACGGGGGCGTCGCACGTGGGATGACGGGCGTGGTAATGACGCGGTCGGTCTGCGTTGGCTGAAACATTGTGCCCTGATGAAGCCTGGTCTGACGTAGAAACACCCAAGATATTATTATTCCTGGGGTCGTCCCGCATCAACTCCTGCGCAAACTGCTCCACGAGTATCTGCCAATAGTCGTGTTTGACGTTTTGCCATTCCGCCGCTTCACATTCGTTGAGCACTTCTAGATGTAGCTCGATGATGGTGCGCGTATGCACGCGTGTATGACGTCGTCGTCGGGCGGCGGGCAATCTGCCGGGCCGCCTATCCCTAATCATCGTGTACCCGTAATGGAGCGGTGGCGGTAGTTCGCCGCGTTGTAAATGGTCCAATATTTCTTCGTCGAGTGGCGGTGACGGCATGTCACGAACGGTTCGATATGTTCGTCGTCGTTTGGCCAGGTAGGCAAAGTACTAAGCAAAAAAAGGGGGGTAAACAGGAGGGTGAGGACGGTAGGATAAAAGGAATGAACGAGGGTGTAGCAGTATATTCGTTAGAAACATCATATATTGGTGCGCGTAGGGAGTTTCTGAGGTATAAACATCCTGCACATGCGGCATGCGCGCATTGTCGTGTATACTTACCTTCCATAGGAAGAACGCAAGGAGCCCAATACCGACCACCGCTGGAATGATCGCGGGGGTGTAGGGGATGAGATCCGTGGGGTCGCACGGATGGGGGGTAGTTTTGGGTTCATCAGGGAAACGAGGTTCAAGGGGGGCCGTTGACTGTGATCCCCCGGATGCATCAGGTGGTGTCCATAGTCCATATGATCCTCCTAAGTTACTTTTTGGTTGTGGGAACTGCAAGTCTAATCCGAAGTCACCTGCTCCACGTGTTCCACCACCTCCTCCTCCTCGTCCACCACCAACTGCAGGAGGTCCTGCTGCACCCGCAGGCCCTGCACCTTTTCCTTCCTCACCAGAAGCACCACTTCCAGCACCTGCTGCGGGCGGTTGGCCGGTGCTGCCGCCGCCGCTGGTGCCGCTGCCGCTTGCATCCGATTGATTTGGGTTCGGGTTCGGTTTTGGTTTGGGTGGATTGAGAGGAGGGGGGTCATCATTACCTGAGTTTGACGCTGAGGCTGGATCCCCTGGTGACGGTACTGGTGGCTGCGATTGATCTGGCCCTGGCGTAGGCAAGTCTCCGGCTCCTGGGTCTGTGGCTGCTGTTACTGTTTCTACTGGTTCTGCGGCTGGGTCCTGCACTGGTGTCTGTGTTGGCACTGAGCCTTCTACTTGATCAGGTTCTTTAGTATCTGTCTTTGATAGTTCCTCCTTAGAATCATCCACAACATCCGGTGTCTTGTCTTCACCTGTACAAACCAGTGGAAGGAAAAACATATGGATGCAACTAAAGCTTTTTAGCGTGGATGGCCATGCTCTACCCCACGGTTCACGGCGTTTGTCCGTCGTTTCACGGGTCACGGCTGCTGGATGGTTGGTCACGGTGCGAACGGTGGTTGGCAGGTGCCACTCCGGGAAAAGACTCTCTCTCTCCCTCCCACAACACACACAGCACAACACAGACACAGTGTGTGTGTCGACGTCTGTCGATGTCTACATGCCGCGGCGGCTTACTCGCTCGCCTGGCTTGCCCCGGCACGCTGTGCCTGTCAGTCTCATTCGACGTTTGGTTTCTCTCTCGCTGCGTGCTGTCTCTCCCTCTGTCTCCGGAAAAGTTGTTGTTTTTTTTTTTTCACTCCGATTATTAGTGCATATGTGTTGGGTGCACAATGCCCGTTAGTTCCCTGTATCTGCCTCATTATCTCAATTACCGGTGTCAGAACATCCGGGTGAAGTATCCGGCTGGATTCTACTAATTGTGATGAACCCTCCTGGCTGTCGTCCTTTGTGTGTCTCAGTTTGCAAGACCTTAGTACACTTTGCCTTTGTGTCCTTACCTTTTGCTGTTGTTGGATTCTGCACTACTGTGGGTTGCAGTGTCGTATCGTGTCCGGCTCCCTCTACCCCTTGTGGTTGTCGCGGTGGAGGTGGAGGTGGGGGTTGTTGTCCAGGTCCTGGTCCTTGACCTGGTCCTTCCCCGGCTGTTCCTCCTGTGGCCGGTAGTCCCGCAGCGGGGAGGCCGTCCCCAGCCGAGGGATCTGATCGTGTTGGTGACTCTGCTGGTTTCGATTCTGAGGGTGTGTTCTCCGATTCTGTGTCCTTTCCTTCAGTTTGGTCCTCAGTACCCACTGCCGGCTTTGTGGTTTCCGATTTCGTCGCCGCCGGTTTCGCTGCGCCTGTAATGAGGGATGCACGAAAGATGGATGAACAGACGATAAAAAAAAAAAGGACACAAGTGGTACAGAAAGAAGGGGGCGGGACGCTTCGGTCCGGTAGCGCCAGGGTAGGTCGGCTGCATGGATCGAGGTAGGACTCGGTGGACTGGTTCACGCGTTAGCAAGCGTACGTTGAGGTGAATTCGGTGAACTTGGGCTAGATGGTAGCAGTACAACTTTTATTTGTTGCCGTCATGTCGTGCAGATGCATCCGTCCTGGCCCCGCTCCGTCATGTCGTCTCCGGTGCCTCGCCGCCGCGTCGCTGCTGCCTCGTGGCCGTCGTGGCCGCGCCGCTCAACCAAAGTGGGGCACACGAAGTGAGGCCGAGAAGAGGCAGCGCTGTGCTGTCAGCGCGTGCGTGTTGTTGTGGTGTGGCTACATTCGTACTAGTCGTACGACTTACATGAGGGCCGCATCCGTATGCGGCCGTATAATGCGTATGCTCATGTCTCGGACGCTTATGTGTTCCCGTACCTGGTTTTTTCTGTAATTGTTCCTTCACCTCCTTCGTCACGTTCTGAACTATATCCTCCGTCACGTCCTGCGTCACCTTGTGAACTATATCCTCCGTCTGTCCTGTCACCGCTTCCAGCACCTCCTTCACCTTCGTTACAATCGTTTCAATCTGCTGTGTCAATGTCTTCGTCCGGTCTACTATGCTTCCTGTTATCTGCTGCCTACTCTTATATTGTACGGTGCCGCTGTCGCCCTGTCCTTCCTTACACTCCCCAAGATTCTCGAGGCCGCCGTAAATCGCACTCTCCGATATCCATTTTCTAATTTCTTCTTCTATAGTCTTTCCACCCATCCTTAAACCACGTATATTCCACGCATTACACTTTTCACTTTTAGCTCCTCCGTCCTGGTCCAAGTCCTTAGCCAGCTCTTGCGCCTTTGCCGTTATATATGCCCACATTCTGTCCGCCCGGCAATATTGCTGCCGTAGTGCCATCAGATTCACTTTCCCTATTATACACCGCATGGTGGTCTTCACCCCTCTGTCAGTTTCTTTTGCCCTGCTTCTCATTTGTTCACTATCTAATCTCTCTTCCATATAAGATATGACGCGCACAATGTTCTGGCATAATGGCATTTGTTCCGCCGTAATGTCTTTACTGCTGGTGCCCTCCGTGCATATCATTTCTAAGGTATCGTCCCCTTCATTATTCATATGTCCTACGAATTCTTGGAACATGTCGTGCATGTCCTGCCATATCCCTCTCTGCAGTGTAAAGAGGATGCGGAGACCAATGTGCACATATGCACCTGCAGTTTATATATTTCTATGCACTCAATACCCCCATGCCCGGCGAAGTCTACGAGCATGCCTCTATACCCGCACGCATTGATGATATGACCTACATTCAAATCGTCTTCCGTGGAAATGTTCCTTTTCTGTAACCAATCTGTGATTAACTCCTTCAGTAATTGATCCATTCTACTACTCCACGTACGGTGAACTGTATGTCTGCAGCATGAACTAATACATTAATAAAGTAGACGTACTGTCCATATACAGAGGTAACAGTATGCATGATACTTAATCCGGATGCCCAGCAGCCGCGTGCCACTTGTTTGGTGCGTGAATGAAAAATAATGTCCTGCTATATCCTTCACTCGCAACATGTCACGCAGTGAGAAGTACAATAGAATACTAACTGTAAGACCTTCCACAAAACATGGATATGCAAGGATAGCTATAACATAGTACGGGAGCGTACACAATGAAAGCATGCGGTCGGTCAAATACACACTACGGAGGAATTGTTCGTATACAAATATGACTGCGCACAAATGTCTGAGGTATTGCTGCCACAGCAAAGAACAATGCGGAGTAGCTCGCAAAAAGACGTACTCACCCAAAAAGCACACCTCAAGCGTATTAAAAAATAATTCTCCTAACACAAACAACAACAAGAAGAAAACCGAGTAAACGAAAAACAACATCGGCATGGAACATAGAACCTACAAATATATATGCTGTCCTAATAAATTTTTAATGAATAAATTACGCAAATATATATACATGTCGCCAAGTTACTGCACGAATATGTCATCGGAAACACCTGCTCGTGAAACATCGAAAAAGACGCGAAAGAAGAGGTGCAAAACAACACATCCCTACCAATTCATAACAACCACGTCGTGTACACAATACCGAGAAGACACTCTGTCTCGTGCAAACAGCAACAATCTGCCCAAGTAAAGTACCAAAAAGGAAAAAAGAATAGAAAAGAAAAAATAGAAAAAATACTACACGCAACGCGTCATGAATATACGCCCCCCGCCCCCCTGTCTACACCGGTGTCCACTAAACGCCTTCACACACACTGTCTCTGTGTGCGTACCGCTAAAACCCGCAGTAACAACAACAACATCAATGCTGTGCCGTCGTGGCCGCCGTGCTGCCGGCCTCCCCTCGTTGTGTGCTGCCCCACAAAATATGTGTGTTCCTTCGCCTCCGCCCCCGCCCACTGGGTGCTCCCTCTCTGGATCCTGCCTCGGAAAATCTGTCGTTGTTACACTCGGTGGCAATGTGCTTTACCCGGCCGCGTTTGCGCGGAGCGACAATCCTCCTGCTGTCTTACACTCGGACAATCGCCTTTACGCGGCTACGTCGTCGAATCGGTCTTGCACTCGGCCGCGTTGCTCGACGAGTTTGCTCGGAGAGACAATGCTGCTCCTTCTTACCCTCGGCACAATGCTTACTCGGACAATCCTGCGTCGAATCCGTGTTACTGCGGTAGTTGCCCAGCCACGTTTGCTCGCAATAGCCGTGCTGAGTGGGGCGCGTTGGTGGACGCGTGTGAGCGGGTACTGCGTCAAAGCCGTGGTGCACGCAGACGGATGTTGTGCACGGTGAGACCATATGCAGCAAGCATGCAAATACAAAACCACGATCGGATGCAATGGCGTGGACGCCGAAGATGACCAATAGTATCAGAGGTCGTGGAAAATAAAAGATGGATGCGCGCGCAGGTACAAGATCCAGGCAATGGAATAAGCGCGTTTAACGAACAACAGCCTGGATGCGAATGCAGAAACAGAAAGAACAGAAGCATCAAAAGTGCCAAGAGCGCGCAGATTAGGCGTAGAATGCCAAAAAAACAAAAAAACAACAAACCCAAAGAGGCTTGCTGCGCACGAAGTGAAATCGCGAAAAAAACGTAGAATGGCATGCAAGGGTAAGGATACGTGAGCACATTGAACAAAAGGGGGCTGCGCAGCAGAAGCGTGCAGGAATGCATATGAAAAAGGGCGAAAGCGGCGCAAAAACGTGGCTCGCATGAAGCATGCAGGAAAAGGGAATGAAAAAGGGATGCAGTAGAAGGAGAGCAAAGAAAGGAGGAAAAGGGGGGAACAAAAAGGAAAAAAAGGAAAAAAGGAAAAAAGGAAAAAAAGGAAAACAAAGAGAAAAAAAGAGAAAAAAAGAGAAAAAAAGGGAAAAAAAGAGAAAAAAAGAAAAAAAAGCAAAAAAAAAGATAAAAGGAGAAAAACGGAGAAAAAAGGAGAAAAAAATAATAAAATAAAATGACAAAAGGAGAAAAAAAAAGAAAACAAAAAGAATAAAATAAAAGAATGGGCAAAAACAGGAAATATGAAAATGCGGGGCAGAAGAAAAAAGAAGGAGGCATATAAGCGCAAATGGAAAACTGAAGTAAAAAAGTAAAAGGCACGAAGGCAGGTGTAGAGAAAAGAAAGCAACAAAGGCACCGAAAAAGGGCACAGCGGCAGCACGAGGGTGATGAGAGAAGAAAAAACCCCAAAAAAAAAAAAAAAGTGCAGTAGCGTGACATGCATAGAAGGCGAAGGTAGAGCACACAAAATTGCGCAAGTGCGTACGTGGGCATATGGAACAAGCGTGAATGGTACGCACGAGGGCGCGATGCAATGGACAAAGGGCCAGCGAAAAGCGCATAGCGCAACAAGGCGCGGTGGTGAACACGAGGGAGAACAGCAGCAGAACGCACGGGGGACTGCGTAAACAGGATTCAAGGCAACCATAAAGAAGTACAAACGACTGCATTTAGAGGAGCAACAACCAAAAGCGCGGGAAGCGCGCAGTAGCAAGGGACAAAGGGGAACAAACGAGGCGGGATGGCGCACGGTGCTGGAAAAAGTGCGAAACAGGGCGGCAATGCAGTGCAACGTGCGTGAAGCAGGACCAGGTGGACACCACGGGGCGTGCACAGGGAAGGCGCGGGCACGGCGGCACCAGTAGGGCATGAGACGCTATGCGCAACAAGCGCAGCAGAACAGGAACAGAACAATGGTGCATACACGCCGCAGGTGTAGTGGACACACGAGTGACCGAATCACACTTGGCAAGGTGACAGCAAGCAGTGGCGCAACATACGTTGGATCACCAAAAGCGTAAGGTACAATGTGCACCATGCAAGAACAGTGCAGGAGCACATGGTGCGACGGTGGTAGACGCTTCGCATAGAGCGCGCGCGTGGTATCAGAGGCGCACGGCAGGCGCAAGCATAAGATGCACGAACATGAGGCGAACGCGTGCGCACTATGCGCAGCGTCTACCACCGTTGCAGCATGTGCTCGCGGCGCGAGTCACAGTCGTGTGCGCGCCGCGCGCGCAGTATAGAACCCTGCGCCTGGACCACAACGCCGCCTGGCGCATCATGTACGTGGCATCAGCACCAGCCTGCAGCACGCAGCGCGCGTCACAGAACCACCACACAGGCCACATGACCGCACGCCGCACACGCACCATGCGTGCAGCGTCTGCACATAACGGACATACAGCGTCGGATGGTGGCCACGGTACCGCACGCTGCGCGCGCAACACCACGCGCCAGGCCTCACATGCACCGCGCGTAGCGACACAACGCGTGGCACATGCGCGTACCGCGCAGTACCTGCTGCACAACAATGTATGCTCGTCATGCGCGCGCGTGCAGCCTGCGCACGCAGGGCTCCTGTTGCCACGGTGTACCACGTATTCATGCATCATACCTGTGCCCGCGCCACGGCGCCACGCAGCGCATATGCCGCCATGCGCCGCACCACGCAGGCACCACGCGCCTTTCACTTTCATGTGCACAGCACACATACACTACGCATGCAACACCATCACCATGCTTTATGCACCGCCATGCCGCCTGACCTTTATCAGGCCTTTTATGCTCACTGCTTTGTATACTCACCACACCCCACATAACCCCATTGCCCCCACTCCGCACCCTCCTCACATGCTTCACATTATTTTGCACATTCCACATTCATCATCCCCGCCTGCACCACATATACCACGCACATGCACGGGCCTTACATGCGCGCCATCATAATATCATGTACCACACATTTTCACGTGCATATGCCCTACGTGCATCGCATTGTATCCTGCACACACTCCATTATTCACTACTACCATTCATTCGTACCATATCCACTTACGTCTTGTCCACCCAGTACCTCCTTCACACCACCTTCACACTTCATACACACCCTTTTCCATCTAATGTCTCGCACATCACACACTCCTGCATCTCATATTCCACACACTATACGCACCTTCGCCTTCCGCACCACACACGCGTATACTCACATCTTTACATGCACACACCCATGACCCATGCGCAACACCATTATCCACTTACACATGCTTATTTCGCATTACACACACTTTCTACGTGCTCATCGTTACTTTTATCCAACCCACCAAATACACCTTTTCACACACACATCCATCACCTTTTACACATTCTGCACATATACATACACCGCACGCCACATATTCATCCTGCACATATCCACGCCCACATGTACTCAAGCACTGTGACATCACACCATCACATTACGACACCTCATACGTACATCTTACATACACATACTTCGCCACCACATATACCACGACACCATTCACAGCATTCACACTACACCAGCCACATTCTACTATTCTAACCCTTATAACTAACCACAGCTCACCATACATCACGCCACATTTCATCATTAGTACGTACGCACGCACACACCCACGCTCACATTCATCACACTTTCTAACACATTCAACATTCACATTACACAACACTACATGCACCCTACACCACACACACTGCAACATACACCTGCACACCATACCACATCAAACACACCACCTCACACATAACCCCTACACCCTTAATCTTACACCGTACACCCTACAGCCCTCAACACTACACCCTAAACCCTGGACCCCCTAATCCCTGCACCATGAACCCTGAACTATGAACCCTGAACCCTGAACCCTCAACCCTAACCCCTGAACCCTGAACCCTGAACCCTAAACCCTGCACCCTCAACCCTGAACCCTGAACCCTGAACCCTGCACCCTAAACCCTGAACCCTGCACCCTAAACCCTGAACCCTG